GTTGATGTTTGTTTTTCTCGCATGATATCGATGCGATATCTCTACAATGATTTCATTAAAAAAAAATTATTTAAAAACATTATACGTATTGCGAAGCAAATCTATGCAGGCGATCGTGGCGCCACTTTCGTAGAAAAGACGAAACTTTGTTCAATGTTCCCAGAGCGATAATCGGTGTAACGGTAAAACGCCGAAACTGTTAATCAAATTTACCGACAAATTTAACCGATCGTCCAACAGTTTGGGCGTTTTGACGTTAGACGAATTGGCACTGTACACGATACACGTGGGGAACTGTGCTTCGGTTTTCCTCGCCAGAGGCGCCGCGTATGCCGATCGGGCTAAAAATGAAAAAGAAATTCAGACGTTTCGTGATGAACTTTTTATTTGATTACAATAGTAATTGTTATCATCGTAGCGATAGTAATAATCATAATAACGATCCGCAATAAACAGAAACGCAACTGCAGTGGCAATAATTACATCGATCGCTTGGAATGATCATAATAATGACGATAACAAGAATGAACAACAACGATCGAATAGACAATCAAAGCATACAGGATTAACAGTAATTTAAACAACACGAACGTACGATTTGCACGTTGAATTCGATGAATCTTGTATTCTTCCTTATAATACATGCAAAGTTTTGGATGTCGTATATTTGTGCACAGGATGCGAAGAAAGCGCTGTACAAAATGCCTCGAAATTATGCCACGCGAACCATTTTATGATATTTTTTACACGCTCCAGAACTTTCGGGAAATTCTTTGGAGATACTTGCTAACGATTCGAGTATAGAACATCGTTATACAACTGAAACGAATTCTGAAATTAAAAAAAGAAAAAATTTCGCCGAACGGTGAACAATTTTTTAGTTGCAAATAAATTGTCTACCGTTCGTTCGTCTATTTATCGGTTCTTTTCATCGTTATCCGCAAAGTAAAAGTCGCGAACCTTGAAAAACATTCATAACGCGTCCAGTTAAAAAAAAGAAAAATAGAAGAGTTTGTCGTCGTGTACGAAATTCAGAAACAACCGATAAAGTCATGGGGCAAATTGTTCTCGGCACCCTGTGTTCCAGCACCGTGTTCAAAAGGTATCGTTCATGTAACCATTTTATCCTCGCTATCCTAATCGTTTTTGTTCCATAAAATGTTGAGTGTACGAGTCGTTGATTAACGTTAACGACGACACGAGTCGTCGCAACGTTTCCATCGCGCATAATTGGTTCCGCTTGCGCATTCGCATGCTTTAATTCGTCTCTTTCTCTCTCTCTCTCTCTCTCTCTCTCTCTCTCTCTCTCTCTTTCTCCCTGTGCGTGTGTGCGGGCGCGTGTAAGTGTACGCGTGCGTGCGCGAGGGAGACAGCATAGATTTGTGTGTGTATACGTATTCGCTAATAGTAAGGTGTACGAAATCGACTACAAAAGGATCTATGAAATGCGTATGAACGAGCGTTTTTTGCTTATGTACAGTATCCTTTAAATCGTTACAAGCATACGGTTGCATCTGTTTCGCGATTCGGTCAGCGGATGACTGAACGCGATAGTTTCGGAGTAGTTTTCGTATCGATGCTTCGACGATGACCGTCTTGCGATGATCGCCCCCCATCCCACCCCCCTCGATCACTGTCCATAGATCGTTGAGCGATCATTCCTCGTTCGCGCGGATTTTTCTCGGCTCGACTTGGCTCGATTCCTCGCCCGCGGGGACGCGAACAAAAGAAAAAAAGAAAACATTTCTCTTTAAAACTTTATCGTTAGAGTATTCGTAGCTCTCGAAGAAGAAAATGTGAGCGAATCGCTTTTGAATCGTCGATTTCCATTTCTCTTCGTAGCAGGAAGCAGCCGCTCGAAACGCAAAGGAAGCATCGAATGAATGGGTGTTGCGAAAAACAAGAGCGTTCGACTACGTCGACAGTTGTATCATCGAAAGAGTGAAACCGAGAAGCCGATTTTCTCCGACTCGTCCGACCACGTAGGAGAAGGCGAAGCGCATCGTTCGTCGCATTCGTCGGAGAATAGCGACGATCGATCGTGCACCGCGAATGTCGCGATTCGATAAGTTAATAGAAATCGACGGACGATTCTCGTTCGCCGTTTTTCTCCGTGCGTCTCGGTTTTCTCTGGAACGGTGGATCGAGCGATGGGTGCACGGACGCGAGACGCTTTCATCTTTCCGAGGTGAATCCCATCGCGTGTATCCGCGGATCGGTTCCGCGATAATTTTCGCTTTTTCGGTCCTGGGGAACGAGCGAGGCTTTTACTAATTGGTGCACGGTGAATCGATCGGTTCGTTCGTTCCGTTTCGCGTTTGCTAGCGGAATTTTCTTATTTCGTCGAGAGAGAGAGAGAGAGAGAGAGAGAGAGAGAGAGAGAGAGAGAGAGAGAGAGACGAGGGACAGAAAAAGATAGAGGTAGAGATAGAGGCAGAGACAGAAAAATGGAAAGCGACCGATCGAGAGCAAACGCTTTTACGCTTATGGTCGCTGATCTTCCGCTGGCTCGGCAGGGACTAATTTCGCGTGGAAAAATATTTACCGTCGATCGCGTACTCTTTTCTCTATTCCTTATCGTTGATAGGATCTGCGAGAACCTCGCGATATCCGTCTAAATGGTTTACGTTTGGCAGTTTTCTCGTATTTTTGAACAAATATACATAGAACAGATTTGTAGCGTCCAGTCGTACGCGCAAAGGAAACCTTGGTCCCCTCGTGCAAACGACCAGCGTAATTTACGACTCTCCTTCGAAGAAGCTATTTTTGAGACGACAAGTTCCAAACGACTCGACGACGCATGTTTACAATAGAGTTTTTCAATAGCAAACAGAGACCGTCGTAAATTCGAAGAGTTTCCGAAAGGTACTCGAAGCGGACCCAACGACCCAAGGGTCATGTGGTCCGACACGGGTGTTCCGAAGGAAAAGTTCGCGCGCGCGCGAGGTTATGATGTCGAACGCATTAGAGGACTTTCGAATCTTGGTACGCCGAATAATTTAAAATGTCCCGAAGGAACTTGTTTTCGATTCTCCGATTGCTCCAACCCACTGGATCCATCGATCGAAATTATTTTCAAGCGTCCCCCGTTTTCGCGAGCGTTCCTCCGATCGCGTTCCACGTTCGCTGACCGATCGGAAATTCGGATGAACCGATCCCCCAACGAAAGAACCCACGATCGATCGCGACGCTTGTCTCCAAGGATCGATATTCTCGTTGAAAGCGGTAAGGCATTATCGGATATGTCGGCTGAGATCTTCGAATTGCTCCAGTGATCGCGGTACATCGAATGCTTTACAAAAATATCGTCTCGCTGTTTTCGTGCCCCGTAACCCGCGTGCTCCACCGTAACCCTGCTTTCTTAGTTTTCGGGGCGGTGAACTTCGTTACGGATGCTTCGTTTTATTTTATTCTTTCTTTTTTTCCTTCTTCCTTGCTTCCTTCGTTTCTTTCTCGTTTCTTTTTATCCACTTTTTTTTTTTTTAGAAAAATTCGCTTCGAAAACAAGAAGAAATACTATAGCACGAGGTATATTTTTTCAGCCGGAAAGCAGCTAGCCAACATTTATTCTTCGCGTCGCTCGACTTCTTTTTCGATACGTCGTTCCGATTCTTCTTATATTTCCTCTTCTTCTTCTTTCGATTCTTCGAAACCGCGTTCGCCGTCCTCGGACCGCGTTTCGTCGACTCAACTGCCGGGCTATCGCGTTCCTCCCGGTTCGTTCCGCCGGTTCGTTCCGCCGGTTCTTCTCGGTTTTTGGCACATTTTATCGGAACGTGTACTCGCGATGGCGCACACCAACGACCAGAAAATTCGATCTTGTCGAGATAAACTGTCGATTCTGTTGCGACAAGGACAGCGATCGAGAAGATTCGGAGATCTTGTGGCAAGAGTTTCGTTTCGGATCGATAGCGGGATCCGGTAGCGGGAGAACGCGTGTTCGGTCGTCCTTGTCGCAAGCAAATGGAACGGAAAATTATTTCGTCGAGTGTCTCGATTGAGGATCGTTTATTGAGAATCATGTGTTTAGATCGTGAAGTGTAAAATGTTAATATCGGTAGAGAATATATCACAAATTTAACGTGAGTGGAATCTTAACAAAATAACACGTTCTTTCGTGTGACGTGATTTTGCCTCGCTCGGCCAAGTACCGTCGCTGCTTTATCGATTCGTGTGTCGCGTTGCAAACCGAGTCAACGGATCAAGCCGATCAGAGAGACGATATTAGGGTTGAATTCGACTCTCGAGGAGTCTACGATCATCGAACCGGACCGACTTTCGAACGGACGTCCGAATTTTTGTCGGATAACGTACCTGGAATCGCGAATTACGAACGACCTATTACGAATTACGGATTACGAATTACGAATTATTCGGAAATAAGATTTCAGATTCGAGGAGACGGTTCTTATGCTCCGTTACGCGCGTGTACGCATCGTTCCGAAAGAAACGAATGTTCGTCGAACGCCGAATGCGATTCCGTTAACCTTTGCAGTCCGCGTTAACTCGGTTTCCAATCTGTTGGCACAATTGTAGCCAAAATGATCGCGCGACATGGTTCGAGGAAATCGCAGATACAGTACGATCGATCGAAGGTGACGCGGCGTGAATTTTTGAATCGCTGGTGCCTCTCATCCGATCGTTCCTCCCTCTTTTACCATCGACTCGCCGCCGTTCGGCTATATTTTCGTTTTCATTTTACGCGTACGCGACAATTCTATCGAAGCTTCGCACGGTTATATCGCACGGTTATATCGTACGGTTATATCGCATGGTTCGTTTGTTTTACGGGTTTCCCGGTTTTCTTAGTTTTTCGAAGCGAGACGATCGCGGACGATCGGTTCTTGATGAAGACGGCGACAAAGGTGGCGACAAAGATGGCGATAGCGACGGCGGAATCGCGCGGACTCGAGTGCGCGTCGAACACACACACCGTTAAATTACATCGAACTTTGTAAAAGGTAGAGAGATTCGCGTTAAACGTGACGCGCCGACCGTGACTATCGCAACAACAACGACGACGACGACGACGACGACGATGCTACGGTTTTTGCTCGTCAATGATGAACCGCTCTGATCGCGCGTGAATTACAATTATCCTTGCAACGGCTACGAATCTCGTTAGAAGATCGTCTACCCTCTACTATACTAATACTAAAACTCTAAGAATCTAAAATTCTAAAACACTAAAACCCTAAACCTCTAAAACTGTGAAACTCTAGAATTCTAAAATTCTAACGTTTTAACATTCTAACACTCTAAAACAAACGTACCAACGAATTTTCGACTATCGAAACGAAATCACGCGATTCACTCGAATCCTACGACATCGAACTCCACACAATTTCGATGGAAACTTATTCTAAGGGCTGCAAACGTGGCCGATGAAGAAAAAATCGTGCTCGTTGGAAAACTCCTAAGCTCCCGAGTCGTTCGATCGTGTTCGACGGTGACGAGAGTCGAGGTTCGCTACGATCGCGCTACGTATAAAATCTGGCGTTCTCGCGGTGTTCCCAAGAATTATCGTTAAAAGTGCCGATTCTCGCGAGGCTCTTAGATTTCGTTGGATCTCGTTAGATTTCGCGGAGAGGCAACGTCCCTTTGTCGTTGGCAAACGTGCTCGAGCTTCGTTTCCGTGGATCGCGATCGACGCGACGTCGCGTCCAGTTGTTCCGACGATCGTCCGCGTTCGCGAACATGGTTTCGCGGTTCCACGGTTTCTCGAGCGATTCCCACGGGATCTTGTTCGCTTCTTTTGTTCGCCCATTTTCGCGATCGTCCGCGATCGTCCGCGATGCTCGAACACCGAACGATCGGGTATCGGACCCGATGCTACGTACGCGATCTTTACGTTTAGGTAACATTTTCAAAATATTCGCACATTTATAGAACTTTTTTTCCGTCTTTTTCTCTTCGTTCGGGTATCGGACACGCGCAGGGAACGACGCGGGGATCGGAAGCGCGTTCTCGGTCGTGCCCGATCGCCCCCGGTAGGTAGAAGTTGCAATTCCACTACGATAGTCAATAATATAATATGTATGTATAATATACAATACTTTGTTAAGCCTCAACAATTCCCATAATAAGTCTGTATTAGTCGCGGGCACGTATCGGTCGGGACTTTCGTCGATCGTGCCGACGATTTTCTGAATTTTCCGAATTTTCCGAACTTAACATCCTCGAGAAATTCACGGTGAAACGAACGGATGAACTCGCTTCGCTGGAATAAAGAAAACTCTGGTGATTCGTCCAAATCGAACGCGATACAAGTCGGTTTTTTTTCAACGAACTCTATAATTTCTTAAATATATCGTTTTGCAAGCGAAACATACCGTACCGATACCACGAGCGATATCGATAAATTGACCGTACCCGATCGAAACGAAACCGGCCGTTTAATTTAGTAAACTCGCGATATCGGAAACAACGGAACGAAGCGCGATCCCTCGGCGACCGATCGACGAAAATCCGTACCGGTGTCGTTGGCCGCGGTGTGTCATCGATAACGCATTAGTCAACAGTGAATATCCGTGTCTCCCGCTCGCGTACCGGAGCGGAGGTGTTCGTTTCTATTCGCGTCCGTATCCGTGTCCGCGTTAGTTTCGAGCCGATTGCGAGCGTTCGCGAGATCCTCGGTCATCGGTTCGTTCGGATCTCGCAACCGAAAAGCATGCGCCTGCTAGAATCCGTGGATCGTCCTGGATCGAGGATCTCCGTTACGATCAATGGTACATCATAATTACTATACACGAAACAATCCCTAATATTTTGGCACAGACAACTTCCTCGCTTCGAGATCCACCTCGCACGTAACAGTGTCCGTCGACCGAGTCGCGAGTCCCGCGTGCTCGAGAGTCCAACGTTCTGCTCGACGAGCATCCCGTCTTCGGCGCCGCCCCGTTGTCCCGTCGCACCGTCGCACCGCGCGTCGTCGGCGAACCGCTAACCGCTAACGGAAGCATGTTCGGATCGTTGGCCTACTCTCGAGCAGCAACGGGGACGCGACAACTGTCCTACCGGTTATCGTCCGATCGACTCGCTAATCGAACTTCCATCACCGTTAACGTCCTCCACCGCTGCTCGTTTTTGTTCGATGGTTCCCACCACCCAGAGCCAGGTTCGATTAGCACCTAACCGAGAGCTCGACCGTCGAGTCGAGTCGAGTCCGCGCGCGGAGAAGACGAAGAGAGCGGGGACGCGTCGCGATATCCTCTTGTTCGAACCCGACGCGTGCCCCGGGTGCCCGACGCGTCCGCGATCGCGAAACGATCGCGGACGTCGTCGAGGTCCCCCCGTTCCCGTTCGACTTTTCTTCGGCATCGCCGACTCGGTCGCCGCGTGCTTCAACGTCGAGGACGCTCCACGCGCGTTAAAGGTCGAACTCTCGACGCGTTGGGCTACGGTGGCTCCGGCTCGGAGGTGGGAGATTCCTGCTACGCTTCCAAGAATATCAGAGCCGTCGGCTTCGGCTCGAGGTTGCTCTTCTTCGCCTCCACCACCAGGAACTCGATCTCGTTGCGGTCGCGCCTCGCGAACGACTCCGCGATCAGTCTTGCCACCTCCTGGTGATGCAGACCTGGAACAAGAACCTCCGTACACCATCGTTTCGCTTTCCATTTCGCTTTACATTTCTCTCCGTGGGTCTCGGATAGATCCAAGATTCGCGACCTAACCGCGCGCGTCCCGCTGGCTACGAATCTCTGCGCAAAACGAAAATCGACCTTAACGTTCGAGCTGTTCGCTGAAAATTTGCCGCAGTTTTTTGTTTACGCCGATACGAAAGAACCGAAATTCGTTTGCTCCTTTTTCAAGTACGCGTAACGATAATAGACGAATACCAATATCAGTTCTGAAATTACCTTCGACTTTGTGGCCGTCGACTTCTAGAATCAATTGACCGACTTCTAGCCCGCCAGCCTCGTACGCCGCTCCGTTATCCTGCGAACACAACGACTCGCGTCAGTGCGCTCGACGATGTCGCCGACGCTTCTCTCTCTCTCTCTCTCTCTCTCTCTCTCTCTCTCTCCGATTGATATTAACGAACGCGAAAACTGGTGAACGCTCTTTTCCTCCTAATCTCGGCCTAACCCTAACCCTCGGGGTGTCGACGTAACCCGTAATAAATACAATTACAAAAGATTTCGAAAAATAATAGAGCGTGAGAACTCGATCGATGGACTCACGTGTATGTTGATGATCCTGGGCAACGGATGCTTGGTGTTGGCCCCGCCCTCGATGGCAATCCCCAAAATCGATTTGGTCTTCTTGACGGTGATCCTCAGGTTCCCCTGATGATCGGGCACCACCAGAGCACCGTCCTCTTCCCTTCTCTCGGACATTTCGCTTCTGGTCAGCCTTTGAGCGCTGTGGTGCCTTCTCGGTGGACCACCGGCACCGCCGGCCCCGGCGGACCCGCCACCGGAGCCACCCTCTTCGAGCAGCTGAGCTTCCTGCATGTCGAAGCTCCGCGAGAGCTTGTGCGCGAGTTCCTGAAACGGGCAAAGCTATGGTTTACCATCGGCGATCGACGATCTGGTCCGGCCCGGCCCGGCCCGATCCGATCCGATCCGATCCGATCGAATCCGGTTCGGTCCGGTCCGATCCGGCTTCCGGTCGACCCCGCAGCTTCGTGACAGCCTCGCGACAGCCAACGTTTCGAACATTCGTCGTCGCTATCTTCCCTTTCCCATTCGCTCTTTCATTTCGTTACCCCTCTCGGATAGTCGATGATAAAAATTTTCAAGCTCGCGCATCGTTCGCAGAGGCTGCTAGACGGATCTTTGATCTTTGGTTCGCAATGGTTGATTTTACAGACGATACGCGTAAATCGTATGCCCGATGAATACATACTACGAAGAGACGATCGAATCGATTCTCGGTCTTCGAGTAATCTCGGACTCGGACGATGCGGCAATAGCGACATCGAAGGAATAAAATTCTATGCAACTCGTACGATACGTGCTTCGTTCGATGCGAAGACGGTAAAGACTGGTCGTTGGTTCGAATATTTTGGATAAAACAATCTCCGATGACAAAATCGTCTCGGCAAAGAGACAACGTTCGTCGAGATACGAAGCAATTTGGGAGTCTCGACGGCTGTCACGCAGCCCGTCGAAGTCGCTTCCGGCACGCGCTCGCTCACGATGCCACAGCACACAAGAGCTAAAAAAGGCTGGTGACCAAGAGTTTGCGCGCACGCTGTGGTCGAAGGGAGTCGTGTCCCGGTAGTCCGCGAAGTTGGTCGTCCGACGAATTTCGAGCTCGAGCGAGTACGAAGCGTGCTCTCTCTCTCTCTCTCTCTCTCTCTCTCGGACTCGACCGTGTTAACTGTGTAAGCGAGAAAACGTTACACCGCGTCGAAAACTTAATTTATCGTTGAAACTATTTGAAATGATAATTATTTAAAGTTCTTCGGATCGCTCGAAAGCGCGCGATATCGATGTTAAATCGTTCTCTAGAATTCCAACGAATTCCGATCGAATTTCAACTCGGTTACGCGGTTGGAATTAACACAGGGTTAACAGGAAAAACCGTCGACAACGTCCAACTCGACTCGTCTACCGGTTTCGCTTCTCCGCAACGACGCGCATCGTCGCCTGGTACCTATATGCAGTCGTACATAACATCGTGTTGAAATGTAAGTCATGGCAATACATATCGATATAGGTCACAAGAGTAATATTAAAAAATTAAGTCATGCTTGCTGATAGGCTGGTAGCAGTTGGGTGTTGGTGGTGCTCGGACAGTGGTGGTGGTGGTGGTGGTGGTGGTGGTGGTTGTGGTGGTTGTGGCGGTGGTGACTGTGGTAGCGGTGTTTTTGTCGCGCGATTATTCGATCGAGCGTTTTAATTTAACCCGCGACTTTTCGATTAATCCCGAACACGGTGTACGCGTTGCGACGCGACGCGACGTTGACCGATTAAATCATGAGATTGTGGGGAAAAACTGTCGAACGAAGACGATCCGAATTATTTCCAAAAATGTTCTACGAACGTTCTACTCTTTTTATTAAAATTATTATACGTATACGCGATTTTACCGTTCTAGATTTCATTGTTTTCACGGTTAAATCACAGAAATGGTCGAATAAAAAGCGACGGTAGCGCGTTGTTGCTTTTGCCGAGCAGATATTCGAATTCCAGAAATTCAAACTGTAGCTTACTTTTCTGAAAATCTATTCGAGACGCGGAAATTCGTTCGAACGCCGCAGTCTGCTCGACCAACGAATTTAACCGAGGAAACTCTGGATCGAAATCCTCCGCGCACGGACCGAGCATTAATTTTTCCTCGACGAGCGAGATAGCCAAACTTTTCCATCGATCTTGAGAACGGTTCGTCGGACCTCGCCTTTGCGCGCATCGAATTTCCAGCAGTCTCTTCTTTCTCTCCTCTCTGTTCTCGCTTCTCTCTCTCTCTCTCTCTCTCTCTCTCTCTCTCTCCTCTTCTCTCTTCTGTTTTCTATTCGCATCGTATATTTCGGTGCGGAAATAAAATTTCCCAATTACGAACGAAACGAGATTTATCGGGATCGCGGTTGATCACGGTCTTCGTTGGTCGTCTCCGTTGAACGAATACGATGCTACGTATACGCCTACGTGTGCAACGACGAGTCCTCTCGAAATCTAACCTCGCGTAAATTCCAATCAAATTGGCCATGGTAGGCTCGAATCTTGTCTCGCGAAACGTCCGACCGCGGCGGGGTTTGTTTTCGATCGTCGGAATCGCATGTACGGTCTGTTCACGGTCGACGGACATGGAAATCGAGTTGCTCGCGAGCTCCTCTCTCGGAGAAACGCGAACCGCGCGAATGGAGAAAGTGTTTCGCGCGTGCGATCGCGAAACACGCGAATCCGCGTAGAATTTCTCTTTCTACGACCGCCTCCGATCGAAATAAAGCAGAGGAGCAGAGTTCGTATCGCCCGGCCTGTCGCGAATGCGACGAGAAAGAAAATAAGAGGGACGTCGCGAAACGAAAAAAGAAATTCATTTCGAGCGGCCGCGATCGATGGATTCGTGCGAACAGAGTTCGATCGCGTCTCTATCGTGGCTCCGCGTCGCCGCGTCGCTCGATTACACAGAGCCCATCGGAAAATCGTTCCTACAAACGATTTTCCGGGTGTCCCGTTCCCCGAGGTTTCCTTGTTCGGTGAAAACCTCTGTCTCGAACTTTCTCCGCTGATTCACCGTCGTCGATGGCGCGATACCGTTCGTCCGGTCGATTCGCGATCGCGCCAGCGACTTTCTTCCTCGGTGTTCCTCCTTCGGGGATTACGATCGGTGGCGCTATGCGGGAACGTCTACCGGATTTTCGATCGTCTAGAATTCTAGAACGTGGATCTAGGGCCGGGATCGCACGAACCTCCGTCGGTTCCCGATACGCGATACGTTCGTTGCCAGCCGATTGCGCGGAAAGATCGCGGCGCGTCGCTCGTTCGGTATAAACTCGAAAAGGAATTTCTCCGCTTGGATATTCGATTTGGTAAATACGGCGAGTCGGCGAGTCGGCGAGTCGGCGAGTCGATGCCTCTTCGAAACGTTCGAAAGATTTTCCTTGAAAAACTCGATCTCGTACTTGTATTCGATCTCGAATATCGAACCAAGGAAAACGTCTAAAGGTCTCGCGTCGGTCGCACGGAGTAATTATCGATTCTTTGTCACCGTCGATCGTTCGTCTTCTCGCGGCGAGCCTTCGAATTCCTTCGAATAAAATATAAAGCGCTTCGATCGTACAAAATTTGTCGAATCGTCGAATCGATAGCCGAGCCACGCGTCGCTTTTCAATGTTCGAGACCTCGACCAATCGACGGATATCGCGTTGATCGTCGGTTCGTTGGAAGTTCGTGCGCGACCAGGAAAGATACGGCGTCGCAGCCAAGCTAACGTCTCTCTAATCGTAACGAGGCGAGAGCATCTACGCGTATCCCGTTCCCCTTCTTTCTATTCCGATTTCTCTCGGTTCTATTTTCTCGTGAATTCGATGTGAGTAAAGTGATCGTGCATGCCAAGACATCTATGTAAATATACTTTGATACATGGACACGAGAATATATATATAATTATACAACGGCTCGTTGCGTCCCGGTACGTATAATTATACATATCGTGTACAGTGGTCGTGCTTGAATATAATAAGGACATATCGAAAGTAGCATGTGCAAGACATCTAAGAAAAAACACGTACACACCTAACGCTATTTCGACTAGGTTCGCTAGCTCTAAGAGCAAAAAGGAAATTGATCTTGGTGAAGTACAGAAAGATAGACATAGAAAACGTGAGTGAACAAACTGAGAAAGTGGAGAGAGAGAGAGAGAGAGAGAGAGAGAGAGAGAGAGAAAGAAAGAGAGAGAGAGAGAGAGAAAGGGAGAGAGAGAGAAGAAAGATAGAGATCTAATTGGGACAAGTTCATGCCGAAGGGAATGATCTTATCCGATGGTTCGAATCATGACTAGACGATGGATAGTTTGATAATCGTTGACCTTCGAGCAGACTTGAAAATCTGTTTATCGGTTACCCGACGCACGCTCTGGCAGGTTATATTAAATTGCCGATTAGGTAACGATTCGATAACAGTTACCAAACCAAATCGTTGATTTCGATATTTAAATTGTTTCGAGAAGTTGATATTTCGAAAGGGTGTTTCGTTTTTGCCAGAGTGGACTCGAGTTCGAGAAAGACAACTTCCAAGAGACCTCCGAGTCGTTCGACACTGCCGGAACATCCCTTTCATCTGCCGGAAACTAAAATCATCGTTAGAGACATTTATCAACCAACTATCCGCACTACTCTCTAGTTGCGCTTCTATCGTAATTACTCGGCGAACGTTCCGATAGGGAACGTCTGGATTCTGGATGTCGTTCTAATTAAGTTCGCTATTCTCTATCGTCGAAACTATCGTTGGATCTAGAGTCTAGACTAAAGGAACGAGGGTAACGACGAGCGAATGCTAAACTCGGTGCAACTTTTACGCGAATCCTCCGAACGGTCCATTCGCCGGAATCTATCGATAACGTTAGCCGCGATATCGTCCGAAAATCATAGAAAATTCTGGCAACGATACTCGAAGAAAACGAAATTGGTGTAATTCGTCGGTATCTCGTATCTCGTATCTCGTGTCGTGGAAATTAATAGCGCACGACAAATCTCGATTTCCCTGGAAACAAATTATCGAGATCATCGGAAAATCAACCCCGCTCTCCTTTTCGGTGAATCGTCTCTCCTGCGGAGATCGCGACGCGTGACAGCTTGCGAAAAAAAACGGAGAATATAAGAATGGAAGAAAAGGAAAAGAAAAATAAGAAGAAGAGAGAGAGAAAGAAGAAGAAGAAGAAGAAGAAGAAGAAGAAGAAGAGATAGTAGTAGTGGTAGTATTGGTAATAGTCGTAGTAGTTGTAGCAGTAGTAGTAGTGGTGGTAGTGACGGTAGTAGTAGAAAAAGAAGAAGAAGAAGAAAAAGTAGAGGTATCTGTGCATGATAGATGTGTATTTGTGTGTGCGCGTGTGTGTTGCTGGTTCGATTACAAAACTTACGAGGGGCCTGGCGCCCCAGTACCAGGATTTGACTCGTTGCGTCAGCCCACCGAGCAAATGGGACCTCCAACCACCGAAACCTCCACCACTTCCACCTTCCGAGCTCCTTTCCTCCCTTCCTTCGTCCTCATCCTCCTCCATATCGCGATCCCTTTCCGTTCCGCATCCGCGTCTCCCGCTACCGATCATCTCGGCGTCGCTACCATCGCAACCACCGTCGCTCTCCTGCGTCGCGACGCCGCCGCGCCGGGAGAAAAATATCGGTAAGGCCTCGTGTTGAGCGGTGCAAGGTTACGCGCGCTGCTACCCTACGCCCACCGTTCCGATTCTAGTTCTCTCGGGGAAGGACGGTTCTTTGTCGCGACGTCGACTTTTTAATCCCCCCCCCCCCCCCCCCCCCCCCCCCGCCTTNGAAAAAGAAGAAGAAGAAGAAAAAGTAGAGGTATCTGTGCATGATAGATGTGTATTTGTGTGTGCGCGTGTGTGTTGCTGGTTCGATTACAAAACTTACGAGGGGCCTGGCGCCCCAGTACCAGGATTTGACTCGTTGCGTCAGCCCACCGAGCAAATGGGACCTCCAACCACCGAAACCTCCACCACTTCCACCTTCCGAGCTCCTTTCCTCCCTTCCTTCGTCCTCATCCTCCTCCATATCGCGATCCCTTTCCGTTCCGCATCCGCGTCTCCCGCTACCGATCATCTCGGCGTCGCTACCATCGCAACCACCGTCGCTCTCCTGCGTCGCGACGCCGCCGCGCCGGGAGAAAAATATCGGTAAGGCCTCGTGTTGAGCGGTGCAAGGTTACGCGCGCTGCTACCCTACGCCCACCGTTCCGATTCTAGTTCTCTCGGGGAAGGACGGTTCTTTGTCGCGACGTCGACTTTTTAATCCCCCCCCCCCCTCCACCGTTTCGTAGCTTTTCCGTCGGGGAAAAAGGGTTGTGTCGATAACGGGAGTTACAGGGTGCAAGGGTGCAACGTTGGCAAGGTCGATTGTCTCGGGTATATCGCGGATGCGACAACTATAGAAAAATACGATGGATGGATATGTCGTTGCGGCGTGTTTCGAGCGTCTCCAGATTTAGTTCGGCTATGCAAAATGCTGTTCGATCGAGTTCATTTTCATCGGTTGCATTAAATTTTCCTCATAATCGTATCGCCGTTCCTACATCTTCCCACCTCGATGCTACACGGAACAAACGAACGAACGAACGAACGAACAAACGAAAAGCGGAGAACTCGTTTATCGAGAGGAAAATTCATTCACGGTATAGGAGAACGAGATCTTGCAATTATTTGAGAAGACAACGAAAGCGAACAAAATAACGATACCAACCAATGAAACGCTCGCAGAATAGAATCTACCCGCGTACTCGTTGGAACACGCTCGCCTTTATCGATTGCCCGAGCGAGAACGATCGATTTATATCTTAACGCGATCGTGATCGTAATCGTAATCGCAATCGTAATCGGGTAGAGAGTTGCGACGTAGAGTTCTGCGAGGTGCCGGGAAAAGTGTTGGCAATTCCAAGATTGCCGCGACGCGGTAATCGTCGTTATCGCGCAGCATCGCGCAATCCGAACAAGCCTTTCTCTGATCGAATGGCTTCGCGGGGCCGCGCCGTGGAACCGCTCGAGGAAACGAGAAAAAGTTCGGTTGGCCCGACGGTCGGCCAACGATATTCGAGACTACGAGGAAATCCGTGCGCCATCGCGATCGCGATCGCGACGGGACGCGGCGCGGTGCTTCTTGTCCACGCGTTCGAATCACCGAGCCGCAGCGAGCGCTACCGCCCCGATCGCTGGGACGCGAATATTCTGTGATTCGCTTGAAACGATACCGCGGCAGCGCAGCGTCGAAACAAGGTGTATCGCGGTGGTACCGTTCGAATCGCTACGAATCGATGCGATTTCTTTCAGCCTCGAGCACGTTTCGCACAGGTCATCGACAAATTCTATCGATCGAGGATGCGATGCGGACACTCGCGTCTTTTCGCATCGTTTCGCGTCGTTTCGCGTCGTTTCGACGTCGTCGACGGGCGTCGAGACACAGCAGCTCGTGCCGATCCAACGTGCGACGGGACCAGTTTTATTCGCGATCGGTCGCGTTTTGTCTCGAGTAATTGGGGCGCGACGCGTGCCGGTAACGAACGCGATCTCTTTTCTCTCGCGAGATCCAGCAGCCGCAGCGCGCGCGCCGTTCCGCCAACGCCTTGGAAACGCTTTGCACGCGGCCAATGAAAAGTCACACCGCGCGAACAGCGCGTTTCACTTGGAATTAGCTCGGCCCGGTCGCGTTGCGATAATTTGTTCTCTCCCTTCGCGCTCGATTTCTAGTAAAATTTCGAATTCCTCGAAGAACGCGAATAGATTTCTCGCGCTAGGTTATATTTTCGCGGAAGAATTTCTTTGCGCGGACAGAGGGGCGATCGACGTGGCGGCGCGGCGCGGCGGCGATTAATCGCAATTAAGCGTGGATCGGCGACCGTTTCTCTGGATCGTTACGCGGAACGGCCTGGGACCGTTCGACCGACCGCCGCGGCTAACGGGAACGCGCGAAGCGCGATTCGATGAGATCGCGCGAAGCCTAATTCGTAGCGTACTCGTTATACACTTTCGGAGAACTCGCGTTGCAATAGGCTCGATCAAGTAGGGTAATAAATATCGAGCCGGGTCCTGCGTAACAGCGCAGGCACGCGCTAATCGACGCTCCGCGATTCGGTCTCTGCGCTTTGCGAACGAGCGTGCGCGAGCACGAATACGAGCACGAGCAGGCCTCTCTGACTCACCGATCCGTGTTTGTCCCGCGAATGGACCGTTCATGGACTGTCCATGGACTGGGAAAAGAGATAGTTTAGCGGTGCGACGCGTATTGGAATTTTATGCTGCGGTTATATTATGCAACCATAGGTGCGGGGAACTCGCGTATCGTTCGCGATACTGGAATTTCAGAGGACCGGAGATCGTTTAAAAAGAAAGTTACGCTCGCGCGCGCGGACGCGTCTTTTCCATCGATCTGCCGATTTCCGTGGATCGCTCCGAAGAAAATCGAGTGAAACGGGAAGTTTTGCCAGCAAAGAAGTCTCGTATCCGGCTACCTTCGCTCCCGCAGCGATCGGTCGAATTGCCGTGGGACGAATTACCGGACACCGCGGAACGATTTATCGGAAGCGAAGACAGCGAACTTCGGGGCAGCGCGAAGCGTCGCTGCTTCGAATTTCCGAAAATCAGCCCGATCTGTTGGAGCAAGATCGCACGATCGAAACCTCTTTCTTTCCCATTCCGCGGCCGCTCGATTAAACGCCGCGCCGATGCGATCGCGACGGTCGGAATAAATTCCGCACCGCGGCGCGGCGTTCGGGCGGCGTTCGGGCGGCGTTCGGGCGGCGTTCGGGCGGCGGTCGGGCGGCGGTCGAGCGGCAACGTCGACCGACAAAGGTAACCGATTCTGCAATTAAATCGATTCGCGGGGCAAGCTTTTAGCCGATGAGAGATTACCTACCCGTAGCGACCCCCATCATTTTTCCTTTTCCTTCGTTCGACTTGGACGCTGACCTCCGTAGTCCTTCGATATTAATTGCGGCTGTGCGTACACAGTGAGTCACCTCGAAAGGGTACAGGAGTAGGAGGAGGAGGAGGAGGAGCAGGGGGAGCAGGAGAAGGAGGAGGAAGAGGAACAGGAGGAGCGGGATAAGGGGGCAGCGGAGAAAGGGTGCAAAGGTATAAAGGTATAAACGTATAAAGGTATAAAGGTGTAAAAGCGTAAAGGTGTAAAGGTGTAAAGGTATAAGGCAGCAGCTAGATAGCGGAATGATCCGCGGATCGAACCGGTTCGGAGATAAGAGATAACCGACGCTGGTCGACGCGACGTTCGAGAAATCGATCAAAAGAGCGAGACTCGTTCCAATTTTCTTGCCGGCGTCCAGAACGTTCTTTCCTTTTCTTCCGTTTTCTCTTGTTTCTTTTTCTTCTCCTTTGGCATCCTCGCGCGCAGCTCGATCGCCGACAATCACCGGCCGACGTAATAAATTCTCCGCCACTTAAGTCATAAACACGAGGCGAGGATCTTCTTCTTCTACGTTGTCCGTTTCGTCCGCCTCTCGAGCGTTACCGAGCCGATTTTCTTCATTTTGCTTCTGGTCGTCTCGTTTCAGAGACTCTCCGATATACCGGTAAGATCGTTCAAAGTTTACTCTGCAAGGAGTACGTATAGCATCGTCCGTCGACGTTGATACTTTGTCCGTGAAACGAATCCGCGCTACGGACAGCGTTCGAACGGTTGTCTCGGCGAAACTTTCTAATCGGGAAGATCAAAGTATTGTTTTAGTTCGGGATGTTTACGGAGGGAATTACCGGTTTCCATCGCGATCGCATCGAAAGAGCGTCGTTCCAGTCTGAAAAACGCGATCCTCGTCCGAGCCATCGGCCGGCTCGTAATTTAGCAGCGACGAAAGAGGCAGAGACAAAGGCAGAGGCAGAGGCAGAGACGGAGCACTGGCAGCGACCACGGTGTTACCCACTAACCTTAACCGACTGTGCGAAACAACGATGATAATGGCGAGCCGATAATAGGTCAGCGCCGGAGAAAGTTTTCGACTCGTCCATCGTGTCGAGTCGCGTCGCGTCGCGTCGCGTCGCGTCAGCGTCGTTCCGTTATACACGCGTACCGGGAAGACGAAGCGGGCCGAAAAGCGGCATCGACTGCTTGGCCGACGCCCGTCTTCTCTCACGATGCCTCCGCGGATCTGGGTCGATACAAGTTCTCACGTCCCGAGGGAATTAACGCGGTCGATCTGCTCGCTTTTTGCGCCTGCGAACCGGTCGCCGCGAGGGTCACAGTCTGCCTCGCTTCCGGTCGAATTCGTCCGTTCGTCTATCCTATCCTATCCTATCCTATCCTATCCTATCCTATCCTATAGAATTACTGCCAACGGTGGCATACAACGTTAAAATTTTCTCGTCGTTTAATGTCCAAAGGCTATAACCACCGGTGATCGACCGGTCGCGACTGGTCTGCTCCGTGAATCGACTCCAAACGCATCCCTCTTCCGGAGAACGAAATCGAATCGTTCGCGTTCGACGCGCGTCGGGCTGCTCGTTACGAGCGGGGATCGATCTGTTCGCGGTTCGCGGAAAGCACGGCGATCTTAGATCCCCGGCCGTCGGCGGGCCGATCGATGGCGTCGTCGATATCCGGCCCGATTACGAACGTTTAGCGGAGTATGTAAATATCTGTCGAGGAAATATCCGCGACGCGACGCGGCAGCCGGGCCGGTTATACGATTCGCTGTTTACTGTTAAGACGACCGGGCTTTTTCCTCGTGCGATGCGCGCGCGAGTACGTTAGGTAACCGGGGACGCGCGAGTTGCCTAACAGTAGGGGAGATTCCGCTGGCGAGTTCCTCGCTCCGGCAACCTCGATCCGTTTCGTTTAACCGGGCTGTTTCGAGTTTGTTCGTTAAGAAATCTTTTCGAATAAAATTACGCGTTTCTAATTAGAAAAATGCCGGCATTTCGCTTCGGTTGCATCGGTTCTATCGGTCGCCGGTATCGGGGCCCCGATATTTCGGAAGCTACCGCCACGAGTATTTGAAATACGCGCCCCCGGCGCGGCGTTCCGGGACTCGATCGGCAACTCGCGATCCATCGAGCGGAGCAACGCCGGATATTTCGTTCGGATCCCGGACTCGTCGGTGCCCGTTGGTCTCCGTAGCGGTTCACAGGGTTCGAGGACCG